GCGAAAATTTGGGGGGATGGTGTGGAGAGAGAATGGGCACTGTTTCTCAGGGCTGCTTCGAGGGGATTGGGGCAGTGTGGGAACCTATAGTGGGAGAGATTAAACTGAAGAAAGATTTTGGGGTAAGGGGTAATATTGTGGGGTTGTTAGAAGGAGCATTTGTCGTATAGAATGATTAGTGATGGCCTGGATGTGGTTTTGTATGAATTGAGAAACTAAATGAGAGACACAAGGTCCAAATAAAAGGAGAAAAACAGGTATTAAAGGACTAAGAATTGGGAGAACCCAGGACATCCAATTAGAGAGTGTCCAAGGGGATTTGGCATAATTATTTGCTTGGTTGGTGAGTTTTTGGGCTCTATCCTTGAGTTTTTTATGTTGTCATATACCAGGCCAGATTGATTCGGGTAAAAACAACACTCTTCATTTAAACATATACAGAGTTCTCCTTTTTCAGCAGTGAGTAAATCGAGGCCTCAGCGGTTTTGGAGGAAAGAGAAATGCAAAGCCAGTAACTGTTTGTTAAAGGATTAGAAACGGCTAGGAGAGAGTGAGTGAGATTGATAGTGTGGTGGAGATAGGTAGGGAGAGGTTAAGAGTAACTGGAGAATGGGGGCAAGGATAAGAGTGAGTAGAAAAGTGAAAAAAAGGGCTTCATCAGGGTGAAAATATTGGAGGGTGCCCTGTCAGCAAAGATCATCTATCCACTCCAAGAGGGAGTCAAGAGTGGCAAATTAGGGATAGTACTAGGAGACAGCCACTACGATGGTTTGGAGGAATAGTGTAAACTGGCAGTGTAAACAGGGACAGGGCATTTATGAGTAGTTAAGAATGGCGAATAGGGGTATGACTAGACAGAAGATAGTAGGGATGACAAGTTTTCAGGGTGCAATCCAAGTTGTGGGGGTGGTGATTGCATAAAGCCTATTGTAAAGAGTAGGGTAAGGAAGAAGAGACCTAATAAAAATGAAAGGATGTGTTAGGCTTATAAAGGTTACTGTTATCCTTTAGGAATGCAGGTGAGTTTAAGGGAAGTAGGGGTGAGTACTTGCGACTTCCAGGAGGAAGAGGAGAGATCAGGCTGGCTGTCCAACGGACACAGTTTTATTCTGGAACAGTGAACCCAATGGGGAGAGTCCTGCAGGTGGATGGCATTTGACGTACTATAGATGACTAAGTAGGGTCTGGTCCATCGAGGTTGTAGAGTTTGAGGGGTCAGATTCTTAACAAGAACTGATCGTCCAGCTAGGGTGTCTTCATGTGGCTGGGAATCTGGAGTAGGCAAGAGAAGATTAGCAGCCTGGCGAATTTCCTGTCTAGCCTGCTGGAGGACTGGAAGACAGTTGCCTAGAGGGCTGGTATCTGGGACAAGGTTGGGGCCAAGCAAGAAAGTGCATCCATATAAAAGTTCAAATGGACTGTACCTTCAAATGGACATATTTTGAAATGGCCCTGCAAAACTGTCTCTTATGGGGTATGTTTACATTTTCTGTAAAGAATCCCGTTCCCTTTCCAGGTCTTTTTCTGATCCTGAAGAGATTAGCTAAAAATCCAGCACCTGTTAAAAGTCTGAATAGGACACATTTGCCATCTATTGCCTCTTAAGGGCGGCCACCTATGAAACTTCATCTACATAATAAGAACCTTGGTCTCCACAGCTCCTTATCTTTTTTTTTTTTTTTTTTTTTGAGATAGAGTTTCACTTTTTATTGTCCAGGCTGGAGTGCAGTGGCACAATCTTGGCTCACTGCAACCTCCGCCTCCCAAGTTCAAGCGATTCTCCTGCCTCAGCCTCCTGAGTAGCTGGGATTACAGGTGCCTGCCACCACGCCCAGCTAATTTTTGTATTTTTAGTAGAGATGGGATTTCACAATGTTGGCCTGGCTGGTCTCAAACTCCTGACCTCAGGTGATCCACCCACCTTGGCCTCCCAAAGCATGGGATTACAGGTGTGAGCCACTGCACCTGGCCCACAACTCCTTACCTTAACCCAGACATTCCTTTCTGTTGATTTGAGGACTTGAGATAATAACTCTTTCAACCAATTGCCAACCAGAACATCTTTAAATCCACCTATGACCTTTAAGTCCCCACCCCTTCAAGTTGTCCCTCCTTTCCACACCAAACCAATGTATATCTCACATGTAATGACTGATGTCTTCAGTCTCCCTAAAACATATAAAACCAAGCTGTAATCCAACTCCCTTTGGGCACATGTTCCCAGAACCTCCTGAGACTGCATCACAAGTCTTGGCCCTCACATTTGGCTCAGAATAAATCTCTTCAAATATTTTACCAGGTTTGGCTTTTTTTTGTCCAACAGTCTGTCCCTGTTCCAGTACTGTGCCAACTGTAGCTTTATAATTAATGCTGATCATGGCAGCGCAACTTCTCCCACCTGACTCTTTTCTAGGAGCATCTTTGTTCTTCTATATAAAATTTAGAATCAGCTTGCCAGGTTCCTTGGGAAAAAACTGACGGGAATTATATTGGAATTGTATTTCATTTATAGATCAATTTAGGGGGAGTGGACATCTCCATGATTTCTTTGAATGTTGCTTCATTCCCATTTTCCCTATTGTATCCTTCTGGAAATTCAGTTCAAAATTTTAGACCTAGCAGGACATAGGGTCCCCTATATAGTCCCAGCTACTTGGGAGGCTGCTGGGGAAGAATACCTTGAGCCCAGAAGTTTGAGGCTGCAGTGAGCTATGATGACACCACCACACTCCAGACTGGGCAACAGAGTGACCTTGTCTCTCAGAAAGAAAAAAGACATCGGAATCTCAATTATATTGTTCTTTTTCTATTTTTATTTTCTTTTTATTTTTTTGAGACAGGGTCTCTGTCACCCAGGCTGGAGTTGGAGTGCAGTGGCGTGATCTTGACTCACTGCAGCGTCAGCCTTTCTGGGCTCAGGTGATCCTCCCACCTCAGCCTCCCAAGTAACCTGGGTCTACAGGTGCATGCCACCATGCCCGACTAATTTTTTTGTATTTTTTGTAGAGACAGGTTTTTGCCATATTGCCCAGGCTGGTCTCGAATTTCTGGGCTCCAGTAGTCCGTCTGCCTTGGCTTCCCAAAGTGCTGGGATTACAAGTGTGAGCCACTGGGCCCGGCCTATATTTTTCATTTTTAGAAATTCTATATGGTTCTTTTAAGATCTTACTGGTTATACATATTATGTACCCACAAAAATTAAACATTTTTTAAATCTCCTTGATCATTCTTTATAATCTCTTATTCATATTTTTAAGGCCCTCATCCCTTAACTCAGTATTTCATAATCTATCCAAAGTCTTTGCAAATCTGATTCTTTCATCTGCTGTTTTTGCCAGTAAAGCTTGTACTGCCTTGTTTCCTTGCATATTGAAATTTTTTTTAAAAAACGATTACCTTATTTATTTTTCTTGGAACTTTATCTTGGGAATTCTTAGAGGCCTGCTTTGAAGTTATTTTCCTCCAAAGAGGGTTTGCCTTTCCTTCTGCCACCTCACCACCCCAGGAACACTTTAAATTAAATGTTCAGCTTTAGAGTTTTCTGCCCCTACACTGTGAATTCCGATGGTGAACTACAGGATTTAGTCAGACCTGAGGTGGAACCCTCACTCACTGTGTGACCTGGGGCAAGTCATTTAATCTCTCTAAATCTGTCCTATCACCTGTGAAATAGCAATAGTAATACCTACTGCCTAAGCAAGGATGAAATGGGATCGTGTATATAAATAAAGCCTTGCCTGGGATTCTTTCTCAGCGGAGGTCAGTGCCTGCTATTCTCTTCCTTTTGCCCCAGCCAGTGGGAGCAATCTGGTGGTGGCCCCTAGCCTTAGTTCTGCCTCTCGGCGTAGGACCTGAGTTATAGTGGAAACAGAGTGCTTCACATCTCACTCCTGTGGCTCACTCTGCCTTTAGTTTTGAGATGACTGAGCCTCCAAAAGCCTTTGAGAGACGCCTCTGCCCTCAGTCTTGACTGTGGTTTGGAGTTGTCTTGGAGTCACTTGGAGCTGGGTAACAAGAAAAATGACATTTGACAGAATTGTTTTATTTGTCAGATGCTGCAGGAATTTTTGGGGGAGTTTGTTGATTACGATTTCTTAAAAAAAATCTTTGTGACTATACAGTGCGACATTAGTAACAAGATGTTAAAATTGTTAATAATTTTTTTTTTTTTTTTTTTGGAGACATGATCTCGCTCTATTGCCCAGGAAGGAGTGCAGTGGCACCATCACAGCTCACTGCAGCCTCAACCTCCCAGGCTCAAGTGATTTCTCCCATGTTAGCCTCCCAAGTAGTAACTGGAACTACAGGAGCGTGCCATCGTGCCTGGCTAATTTTTTAAAATTTTTTTGTAGAAACAGGGTTTTACCATGTTGCCCTGACTGGTCTAGAACTGCCGGGCTCAAGCGATCCTACTGCCTCCCAAAGCACTGGGATTACAGGCATGAGCCACCGTGCCCTGCCCCACATGATCATTCATTCAATCACGCCTGTAATCCCAGCACTCAGGAGGCCGAGGCGGGCGGATCACAAGGTCAGGAGTTTCAGACCAGCCTGACCAACATGGTGAAACCCCATCTCTACTAAAAATACAAAAATTAGCCAGGTGTGGTGGTGGGCATCTGTAATCCCAGGTACTCAGGAGGCTGAGGCAGGAGAATCGCTTGAATCTGGGAGTCGGAGGTTGCAGTGAGCTGAGATCATGCCACTGCACTCCAGCCTGGGCAACAAGAGTGAAACTCCATCTCAAAAAAAAAAAAAGGCAACAAAAACAATGGTAGCATATGCTTTGCTGACACAATTATTTTATGTCCCTAGGTTGGTTATGTGAAGTTTCCTGACTCTTCCCTGCTATTTAGGAAGGGCTTCAGAGACCTGAATACTTAGTAGCCAGTGCAGCAGGGTTTCAGGGTCTGGCCTGGGAGGGTAGGGGAGGGGGAGGGCAGGTTGCAGCTCAAGTAGCTTTAGAGATGCTGAGCCTCTCCTTCTGTCCTGCCCAGGACGCAATGAGCCCCTGAAGAAAGAGCGGCTCAAGTGGAAGAGCGACTACCCCATGACTGACGGGCAGCTGCGGAGCAAACGGGATGAGTTCTGGGACACAGCGCCTGCCTTTGAGGGCCGCAAGGAGATCTGGGATGCCCTCAAGGCCGCCGCCTATGCTGCTGAAGCCAACGACCACGAGCTGGCCCAGGCCATCCTGGATGGAGCCAGCATCACCCTGCCTCATGGTAAGTGGGCAGGGCCAGGGCTTTATCCCCGCTGGAGCTCGGGGGTCACCAGCACAGTTTGAGGGTGTTGAGGGGTGTGGAGCGGTGGGGCAGGTGGTTACTCACGTGTTCATTCCTTCAAGCAACCCTTACTGAGCGTGGACCAGGAGTGGGTACACAAGGAAAATGAGAAAATGAGACACAGTCTGTGCTTGCCTAATGACATGACAGAAAGACATCAACAAACTTGCAAAGCAGTGTCACAAATGCATTTTGAGACCCTAGAACATCCAAGGCACCGACCTTTATTTTATTTTTTATTATTTTTTTTGAGATGGAGTCTTACTCTGTCGCTTAGGCTGGAGTGCAGTGGTGGGATCTCGGCCCACTGCAACCTTTACCTCCTGAGTTCAAGCAATTCTCCTGCCTCAGCCTCCTGAGTAGCTGGGATTACAGGCATGTGCCACCACGCCTGGCTAATTTTTGTATTTTTAATAGAGACCGGGTTTCACCATGTTGGCCAGGCTGGTCTCAAACTCCTGAGCTCAAGTGATCCACTGGCCTTGACGTCCCAAAGGCACTGACCTTTTATTGGGTCATTATGTGCTGGACACTGATCTAGAAACTTCCACTGCATTAACTCACATAAGTTCATAGTAGCCTTATGGGGCCATGTAAAGCAGAGGGTAACAGTGGAGCTCTAGAATCACAGACTTGAGTTTCTTTTTTTTTGAGATGGAGTTTCACTCTTGTTGCTCAGGCTGGAATGCAATGGTGCGATCTTGGCTCACTGCAACCTCCGCCTCCCAGCTTCAAGCTCTGTTACCCAGGCTGGAGTGTAGTGGCGCGATCTTGGCTCACTGCAACCTCCGCCTCCCAGGTTCAAGTGATTCTCCTGTCTCAGCCTCCTGAATAGCTGGGTTTACAGGCATGTGCCACCAGGCCGAGCTAATTTTGTATTTTTAGTAGAGACAAGGTTTCTCCTTGTTGGTCAGGCTTGTCTTGAACTTCCACCCTCAGGTGATCCGCCCGCCTTGGCCTCCCAAAGTGCTGGGATTACAAGCGGGAACCACTGTGCCTGGTCACAAACCTGGGTTTCAATCTGAATGTTTCCCTTTCCTAACTATGTTGCCTTTAGCAAGGAGCTTCTCAAATTTAGAGCCTGAGTGTCTTACAACTGTAAAGGGGAGATAATTATTAGGATTCAGCAAGATACATATAACATGATTTAGTCCAGTCCCAGCACTTAGTAGGTGCTCAAGAGACAATAAACATATTTCTGCATGCATTACATTTTACCAGTAAGGACACTAAGGCCCATGGAAAGCAGAGCTGTGCTGTTTCATTCATTCCTGTAACCCCAGCATCTGGCACATGTGAAGAAATGAAAAATAATATGCCAGGATGAAAAAGTCAGCACCTGGTGGAGCTGGGATGCCAGCTCAGGTATTCCTGACTCCAGTCCTGTACACCTAGTCATCAGGCTGTCCTAGGGAGATCTGACTGTGGGGTGGCCATGGCAGGTGTATTAGTCTGCTCAGGCTACTGTAACAAAATACCACATGCTGGGTGACTTAATCAAGAGACATTTATTTCCCACAGTTCTGGAGGCCGGGAAATCTGGCATCATGGTGCTGGCCAGTTCAGGTTTTGGTGAAGACTCTCTTGCTGGCTTGCAGGTGGCTGCCTTCTTATTGTGTCCTCACATGGGGAGCGAGTGGAGAGTGAGATAGTGCTCTAGTGTCTCTACAAGAACTATAAGCCAGGGCAGTGGAGCACACCTGTAGTCTCAGCTGCTCGGGAGGCTGAAGTGGGAGGATTGCATGAGCCCAGGAGTTCGAGATCAACCTAGGCAACATAGGGAGATCTTGTCTCAAAAGAAAAAAAAAAAGAACCATCCTTCCGATCAGCGGACCAGAGGGTCAGGGCCCCACCCTCTGACCTCATTTAACTTTAAGTATTTCTCTATAGGCCCTGTGTCGAAATACAGTCACACTGGGGGTTAGAGTTTTACTATATGAATTTGGGGGAACCCAAACATTTAATCCATGATAGTGGATCCCCAAGCTGATTCTGACAGCCCTGCCTCTCCTGTAGGCACCCTCTGTGAATGCTACGATGAGCTGGGCAATCGCTACCAGCTGCCCATCTACTGCCTGTCACCGCCCGTGAACCTGCTCCTGGAGCACATGGAGGAGGAGAGCCTGGAGCCCCCCGAGCCCCCACCCAGCGTGCGCCGTGAGTTCCCGCTGAAGGTGCGCCTGTCCACAGGCAAGGACGTGAGGCTCAGCGCCAGCCTGCCCGACACGGTGGGGCAGCTCAAGAGGCAGCTGCATGCCCAGGAGGGCATCGAGCCATCGTGGCAGCGGTGGTTCTTCTCCGGGAAGCTGCTCACAGACCGCACACGGCTCCAGGAGACCAAGATCCAGAAAGATTTTGTCATCCAGGTCATCATCAACCAGCCCCCACCACCCCAGGACTGATGGGCCCACAGACCCCTGGGAAGAGGCCCCGCCTGGAGCACTAGGCCTCTGCCCTGCTGCTGCCTTCCAGTACTGTCATTTTCTGCAGGGGCCCTCCCCTCAGTTTGGCTGATGGGCAAGCTGTGAAGGGACCCTGCCTTTCAGGGCACTACGTGCCACCAGTTCCCGGTACCCAGGGAGCAGGCGGCCACACACAGGCCTTGCAACCTTGTCAGAGAAAAGGCGAACGGGGCCCTCACCCTGCCTCTCTCCCGCAGCAGGTTCGAGCCACAAGGGCCAGCCAGGAGGCCCCTGGAGCCCAGATCTGTCATCTGGTGCTGCCAGCTGTGCTCACTCCGGTTTTCTGCTCAGGGTCTGAAGCAGCTGCTGTCTCCCTCCTCTGCCCCCATCCCCTGGCTCTCCCCTGGGCACAGTGCCACTCTCTTGGAAGGGAGGGAACCACCCGTGAGCCCCAGGGCTCGGGAAGCCTGAGGCGGGCCTCTGCCTCTCTCTGCCCCCAGCACAATTGGCAGAGATGAGGCGGGTGGTGGACGGCTGGGCTGTCGTGGCAGGGTCTGCACAGGGCCATGTTCTGGCTATAACCCAGGCAGTGGGAGGTCTGCAGCCTCGTCGTGGCCCCCACAGCAGGTCCCTGTGGACAGACATATCTGCATATTTATCAATAAAGCCTTTTGCTCCTTCTCGCTTGCCTGGCATTTGACTGAGATCTCCTGCAGCCCTGTGGGGCTCCTGGAGCTGTTCTGGTATGGGAACAGGTGGATGCCTGGCCTCCCCAGCTGCTCTGGGCATGCCATCTCCAGCAGAGTGAGCCTGGAACTGCCAGTCTTCTGGGCCCTGATCCCAGCTCCCCTGGTGTCCTCATGAGTCCTCAGGAAAAGCCACTTAACCTCTGAACCCTCTTTGCTTTTCTTTAAAGCAGAGCCATGCTACCTGCCCTGCCTCCTCCATCAGTTGCTGGGAGGATTAAGCAGGAAGACAGATGTGAAAGTGCTTGCAAGGCGAAGACAGCACCTCAGGAAGGTGGTCTGCTCCTGCGGCAGGAGGGGCTCGCTTCCGGCCCTTGGAGACGCTGTACCCATCGTGATGTTAAAGCAAAATCTCTGACAGATTTAGATCATGTGTCAGAGGTTTGTGTCAGATTCCCAGCAAGGGAACCGGAGAGGAAAAGGAACCAGTTCCTCATGCTTCCTAGGGGAATGTGTGCGTATCTGAAGAGAGGGGAATCTTATATAAGGCTATTTAGCTAAGAGCAGCCACCAGCCAGGTGAGCCTTACAGAAGCACAGGGCCGGGTGTCTGCAGTTCCCTAGCAGGTTAACCTGAGTCACAATGAGCTCAGTGGAACTGGGCAAGTACAGATCTGATTTTGCTCCAGTTGGGAGTATTTTTCCTTCTCAGTGAGCATGGGCAGCCTCCTGGCCAGGGAAGTCTAGCACTGTCTGGGCCTGGCAAGGAAACCCTGGGAGGGCAGGAGGATCCAGAGTAGCTGCTGCTCCTTGCCAGCTGGGCTTAGTGCTTTCCGGAGACCCCTCTCTTGAAGCAAGACTCTGTAAGCCCTGCAGAGGTTCCCTGAGCACTTACCAAGGGAGGAGACAGATTTGATAAGGTTTGTTCGTGACTAAAAGTCACCCAGCCAAATGCAGTGGTGCTTAACTGGGGAGCATGTGGGACCCCGGAGAGCCTAAGGGCAGCGTGAGCTGTGATCAAAGAGGGAGACAACTGCCCTTCCTGCTACCGCGGCCCTGGGCTGGACAAGTAGAGTGTGACCCTCCTCACAGCCAGCAGGGCCTGTCTGCAGGACAGCCTGGGAGTACAGAACTGTCCTGGGTCCCCACGTTTGGTTTTTAGGCCCTCTTCCTGGAGCTGGCTGAGCAGGGTTTCCAGGCATCCAGCAGGGGGCACTGTCATCTGGGCTGGAGCATGCAGCCGGCAGGTCCCTTGTGCAGCCCAGCTGCCTTGGCTAAGGCCCAGCCAGGCCCAAGCGCTCAGGACAGAGGCTGGAGAGGCTCCTTCCTGCAGCCCTGCTCTTGGGACACGGTGCCCTCCAGCTCTAGTAGGCCAGGAGTTGGCGGGGCAACTGGCCTTGTTCCCTGGCCCTGGCTCCCCCTGCTCCCTGGGGCTGCCCGAGGTGAAGGTGACAGGTGGGGGAGGCAGGTGGAGAATTGGGCCAGTGAGCTCATGGCAAAGGCGCCCAGCTGGGCAGGGGTGGGTGCTCTGGCCTATAAAGCCCCCGAGGCGCTGTGGCCTGCAGAGGCGGTTATGGACGGCACCATGGAGGACTCCGAAGCGGTACAGAAGGCCACGGCGCTCATCGAGCAGCGGCTGGCACAGGAGGAGGAGAATGAGGTGCGGGCAGGGGTAGAGGTGCCCAAGGGAGTCTGAGGAGATCCAGCTCTGCTGTCAAGGGGAGGGAGAGCCTGTCTGCTACACCTGTGGTGGGGAGGGGGGTAGATGTCCCCAGGGGCCCAGTTGGGCCTCATTCCTGTCTCAGGGTATTACTGGCAGAGGGTATTGCTGGCAGCAGAAGACTGAGGCTTCAGCCTCCAAAACCGAGTCAGTGGGGTGGGGAGCTGGGCTGGGCCTCCTAAGAGTGCTCACCCTCCTGGGCCTTAAGAGACAGTGGGCTGTACAAAGCAGACAGCTGGGTGCCCCCTGGGACTGTCAGGAATGTGTGGCCCTGTGATGCTCCAGTGATGGACTGGAAGGCTGGGGCAGGGGAAACTCCAGTGTTTGGCCACTGAAGAAGAGAGTGAGGAACAGTGAGGAAGGGATGCTGGGAAAGGAAGCATGGATTTTGCCAGCCTGCTGGCCACCCTTGGGGAGACCTTTGGAATGTGGTGTTCTGGGCAATTGCATTTTCTCTGGGATAAGGAAGTGGAGCGGTGGCAGGGGGTGCTGGCTTGTACTACTCTTCATTCTTTTTTTGAGATGGGGTCTCCCTCTGTCGCCCAGGCTGGAGTGCAATGGCACAATCTTGACTCACTGCAACTTTTTCCTCCTGGGTTCAAGCGATTCTCCTGCCTCAGCCTCCTGAGTAGCTGGGATTACAGGCATGCACCACCATTTTTTGTATTTTTAGTAGAGATGGAGTGTCACTATGTTGGTCAGGCTGGTCTCGAACTCCTGGCCTCGGGTGATCTACCCGCCTCGGCCTCCCAAAGTGCTGGGATTATAGGTGTGAGCCACCGTGCCCGGCCCCTACTCTTCATTTTATTTAAACTAATACTTCATCTAGTGTCGGCTGTGCCAAGAGTCCAGAGCTGTAGAAATGGGTGGACCAATAAGGCCCAGACCATGCCTTCTTTTTACCAACCCAGCATTCATTTTAGCCCACTTGTCGGTTTCATAGTCAACTAAAAAACAAGGCAAAGGGAAGAAATGACTAAATAGAGGTGTGAATCAGAAGTGGAGGAACACAAGGGGCTCATGAATTGTTCTGAGGGCCTTCAAGGACTCCTCTGTGGACAGGGCCAGGTGCAGTGGCTCAAGCCTGTAATCCCAGCATTTTGAGATCTGAGATTCGAGGTGGGTGGATCACTTGAAGTCAGGAGTTCAAGACCAGCCCAGCCAACATAGTGAAACCCCGTCTCTACTAAAAATACAAAAATTAGCCAGGAATGGTGTCAGGCACCTGTAATCCCAGCTACTCGGGAGGCTGAGGCAGGAGAATTGCTTGAACCTGGGAGGCGGAGGTTGCAGTGAGCTGAGATTGCACCACTGCACTTCAGCCTGGGTAAATAAATAAATAAATAAATAAATAAATAAATAAAGGGACTCCTCTGTGGTTAGGAGGATACCTGAGCTGGGCCTTCAAGGGGTCTCAGTGGAGTCCAGGATGGTGGAGGGTATTCCAGCCTCAGGAAATGCAGGAGCTGAAGTTTCCATGAGTGAAAACGTGGCTGTTTTGAGAAAGTCTGGTAGCAGGGCTAAGGCTGGAGAGATACAAGCCAGAGAGGGCCATGTTCTGTGGGTAGTGAGGCGCCACTGTATGTTACCGAGTGCGGGAGATTGGTGTCATCTGCCCTATTTTAGGAAGGCAGCTCTGATGGCCCTGAGGACTTGTTGGAAAAAGCTGGCCCTAACAGGAGTGGAGGGGAGGAAATGAATCAGTTTGGAGGTAGATGCCATTCAAAAAAAGAGTGTGACTGAATGAGGGGTGAGGAGGAAGGAAGGGTCAGGACCCCAAGGGAAGAAGAGATGAGGTCAGAAAAAAGCTTGGACTGAGCCCTGGCTGGGGCAAGCATCCGTGGATCTCTAGGAATCCTACTTCTCACTCCCCCAAGGGCGTGTGCCTATGGTTGGCTGGTGCCAGGCAGGTGAGTCATGCTGCTATGCCAGTTCTGGACTGCTGCCAGTAGACACAGGGACCTTCAGCGAGGGGATGCAGAAGAGTCCTCTTCCGTTCATTCATCCAATAAATATAGCTACAGAGCTGGCAGCACACCAGTGCCAGGCCCTGTGCTAAGCATTTTACAGGCATTCTCTCTTTTAATCTGCATGACAATCTATGAAGTAAGGTGGGAGCTTTGTATGTTTCGTGAACTCACATTCAATGCAGCAAACAGTTACTGAGCACCTACTGTATGTCAGCCCACAAAGACAAACCTGAAATGAAGGGCTCTAGGGTCTGGGGAAGATGTAGGTGAGCATTAGAGTCGCCAGTTGTCTCTACCAGGACCCAGCCTGGCAGCGTCCTTGGAGGAGAACCTCTGTTTAGCCTGTGCCCCATCCCCAGGGTGGGAAGGGAAGGAGGGTCCCAGAGGCCAGCGCAGGGCCTGGAGTTCTACTGTGGTGAGCTTACTGGGTTAGGTCATCACTGAGAACTTAAGGGTTAGCAGAGATGCTGAGCCTGCTTGCCATCATCCATTCACTCATTCATTCATTCATTCATTCACCAGTCACTAAGCACCTACTATGTGCTAGGGCCTGTCACAGATGCTGGGGACACCAAGATGATTAAGACACAAGCTTGGGAGCTGCAGTGGCTCAGGCCTGTTGTCCTGGTGTAAAAGGAGGCACGGCTAGGCATTCGAGGCCAGCCTAGATAACATAGAAACCTCTCATCTATATAACAACAACAACAAAAATTATAGCCGGGTGTGGTAGCTCATACCTGTAATCCCATCACTTTGGGAGGACAAGGCGGGCAGATTGCCTGAGCTCAGGAGTTCGTGACCAGCCTGAGCAACATGGTGGAACCCCATCTCTACTAAAATACAAAAAATAATTAGCCGGGCATAGTGGCATGCTCCTGTAGTCCCAGCTACTCGGGAGGCTGAGGCTGGAGAATCGCTTGAACCCAGGAGGTGGAGGTTGCAGTGAGCCGAGATCGCGCCACTGCACTCCAGCCTGGGTGACAGCGGGACTCCGTCTCAAAAAAAAAAAAAAAAGATGCAAGCTGGCCCTCTGGGTGCTCCCTGAGGAGCCCAGCCGAAGTCCCACATGCAGCAGTAGCTGCAGCCCCAGGTTATCTTTCATTCTTGGAAGAAGATGCAGTGTTTCAGGTTAGGCCAGCACTAAGACCTCAAACCATGAAGCCCAACATGAAAGGGAGAAAGCAGTGGCTAACAGAACCTTCAGAATGAAGACCTGGGAAATCGGCTCTCAAAACCACCTTGAAGGAGCAAATGTGGGAGCTCAGGGAGGAATGGGAAAGGGACCTGAGTGGTCTGTAAGCGTGGCCT